CATTGTAATGTATTTACTACATCCCATATATAAATATTTTACTTTTAGTATATAACTTTTCAATATTGATTTTTGGCAATAAAAATATGAATATCTATCTTAAAATCTTCAATACAACAATATTCATCTTTTTAACAAATAATTGAATGAATAGAATTTATAATTTTCTATATACTTTAACTTAATTTGTAAGCATGAATTTTTATCACAAAATAAGACAAAACAGTTTAAATTATCACAATTACTCTTTAAGAACTACAATGTAGAAGTCGATTTTTTGACAAATAAATAAAAAAAGCTATAAACTGATCATAATAATTATGTTGATAATATTTTATAATAATTATATAAAAACCAAGAGCAGTTTAGACATAATTGAAGCAAGTAAAATAATAATGTAAAAAAATTTGAGCATAGTGGTTGTTTGAAATCGTTTATTTTGGTCCGGCCATTTAAAAAGTGTAGGCTGTGGCACCGAGACCTTCCTTCTTCCTTTATTCTTTCATAATGTTTGCGTTTTATTCATAATTTAATACAATCACATAATTAAAAAGTAAAATGTTTAGGCCTAGCCTAGGCTAGAACTTGGCTATGCCTTTTAAAAAATAAATATACAATTTTAATAGATAAGATTAATTTAACATGGACATAGTAATTCACAATTAAACAATACATTATTAATATAAATGTAAATGTAATAACGTTAACGAATAAATAACAATAATTAAAACGTGTACATAGTATCACTACTGCAGTAATAAAATTAATATTTTCCAATCTTATAATCAATTTTTTATAGCCGGAGTTAGTATTGACCTAGGCTATTATGGCTAACGACAGGTACGCTTTCTCCAATATAAAGGTTTTTTCTATGAATGGAATGACCTGTACGAAACACGAACTCCTGTAGACCAAATCCAGTACCCTTACGATTTTAATCGTGCGGGAAATATCATTAGGATTACGTCATTATTTTCGTATTCGGGTACCTACATGCAGTGTTTTACAAGTCCCATATACCTTCTCAAAATTAACATGCTCCTTGGTGGCGCTGTCCAGAATGAAAAAAATAATAAGGGACTTGTGGCAAGTCTAGAAGAGGAGGTGTCAGACTACAATCACACGCATATTTGAATTACTGTTTGAGGTGAGCAACGATACCTTATTAAATACATAGGTGTTCACTATGTTTGTGATTGACACTACTATGTGGTGATACTGTGATAATTATGTTTGGACTATGAGATTATTGTGTGACGACATTATTTTCAATATATTTTTACCATTTGATCATCCAACCAGCCAGTCTGCAAATAAAAGTAAACCCCACCCTAAAAGCAACTGCTGCTATACACCTGTGTGTTTTATTTATAATTAAAGAAATAGATCTCAGGGTTTTGAGTGTTGTTGGGTGTTGGGGGAGGTCCGAACGTCGCCGAACCTCATCCCTCTGGATCCGTCTCAGGGTTATCTAATCAGTCTGTGAATCATCTTTAAAATACTTCATTGAAGTAATAGTTGGAATTTCACTAACGTTTCTGTAGTTGTTAAATAGGTATCCATAGTTATTTATACTTCACAGGATTTTTTTTAGTAATAAAAGTATTTTGGTTTTCTATGCTTTTTATTTTTTATTTTTTTTTACATTATTAACGACTTTTGTTGTTGTAAATTCAATTTCATTTCCCACATAGCAGTGAGGAAAAGCCCTATGTTCTGTTGTATAAACAGACACAATAAGTCTATTTAGTTTTATTTTGTTTAAGCTAATATATTTAATATTGCTTTCTGTTTAACTATTTACTTTTAGAAATGCCCTTGTAAATAAAAGACAAAATACATTTTAAATAAAGAATAGTAAGTCAATAAGTGTGTTAATGTTGACACAAGCATGCAAGATATGAAAGAATATACTAAGAACTTTATTATCTGTGAATGCTAAGTTGTGATAGATATACACTTTCCTTATTCTTAACGTTGACCTATATTGGGGCTTAACATAGTGACTGTATAATGTACATTCGATATCATGATATTTTAGAGATTATCAACTTTTTTATCTGTACTAATGTCATATTAGAAAATAATTGTCTCGTGTGTTGCTTTGGTACTGCAACAACTCCTCGTTTAATATTTGGTACATCGTGTTAGTGTAAAAAGTAAGAACTACATAGGCCTAGGCCTATATTTCTTCGTTTGTTCAGTTGTCTTGGAGATAAAATGTAGCAATTACCTTCTACTTACTCAAATATGTATAAATTTAAAGAAATCTACTAAGAAAACACGAACCTGATTTAACAGCACAAATAATCTAAGTCAATGGCAAAATCTTACAATGCTGCAGCTTGAGTCGTTTTAATCGAGTCATTGTTTGCCAGATTACAATAAGAACATTAAAAGTCGATTCAGCTAAAAGAGAACACACAATTTAAAACACGACTTCCTTATGCTCATCATGATTGGCTGCACAATTGGGTAAAACTATCTAAATTCCTGGATGTAAATAACTTAACTAACTTATTTTTCATTTATACTTTGAATTATATGGCGCCTTTCTTTGCAGATACGAAGTGCTTCAGTGCCAAGTCATTAGTCCATTTTAAGTGTTTTCTGTACTATCTATTACTTTTAGAAGTTGAAATCGTTAGATAAATGCTTAAATGTTGCTTCAGGCAGTTTAATGTTAGTGCTTCCCACTATTGTGTGCTTATATTCAATATCAGTAATATCGATTCAATTGAATCAAATCATTAAAAGCAATCAGTGGTGTCTTTACTCTGCGTCAGTAACGCTAACTCAAATCAAACTTAAAGATATTCAATTATAGTTGTAACAACCAAACAGCATGCAATGTTGGAAATTTTGAGTATAGTTTTCGTTAATTCATTGCTAATTATCAGCTCTGTTGTGTCGGGTAAGTATCATTTTGACAAATAATTATCTAACAGCTCAACAATTATTTAATTAGTAGATTTAATGAATTAATTTAAGATTACGGTATGCTTTTATATTATTGTGGTGGTGGTCCTAGTAGTAGTTGTGGTAGAATAGTAGTAGTAGTAGTAGTAGTAGCAGTAGCAGCAGCAGTAGCAGCAACAGCAGCAGCAGTAGTAGTAGGACTACTTACAAAATTATCATCATTATTACGATCATAATTATCTTCATCGTTTTTACGAAGTTTATTTTTCCGTTTTATTTTTTTAGAATAAAATAATCTAAGTATGCATATATTTTTGCCTTTTAATAATGGTAGAGATAATATCTCCTCATAACTAGAAAAAAAAAACCTACTGTAAATCGAATCCTGGCAGACCACTGTCGTCTCCGATTATAATTAATTCAAACATATAATAAATCAAACCCGCTTAAAATATTAATCTTTATCTTTGATACCCAGTTATATATATTATCACGTTAGGTGAACCTTTTGAAAGCTATGACTATAATAGTGTATACATTTTTGGCCAGAATAAACTATAATTTTTCATAATCGTGTATATGTAACGGAAGCCGATCAAATATTATTAAACGAAGTTCTGATCACGATCTGTTGTTGAGTACAAAATTTAGGTGACCCATTTGCTACAAATACTACCGTGGACTGTTTTATAAGTTTAGTTAAATTAAATTCCCTGGTTTTCTTGTAAAATTATCAGGGCTAAAATTATAATCAATTTTAATTTAAGGATTTGATTCTTTCATGAAATGTTAAAAAAGCCTTAAAAAGTGATTTAATTGAAAAACTGAATCATTATTTAATTTTAACTAACCATATTCATCTTGAGCTAATTTCTTTGTCGAAGAAATTGTAAGGTTACTTACATCCACTTCATTTATTTGTGTCCACAGGAAAACATATAGTTTGTTTAGTGCTACGCTGGTCATTAGAACTTAGTGGATTGACATGTCTATCCCATGATGAATGCTTGCTTATGTATTGTATTTTTTTTATTCGAAATAATTGGTAATACTGCAATACATTTCAGAGAAAACTTGAAAACTTACTAAATTCATGTTTTCAAATGGAAACGAGAACAGGGCAGGATACGGTATTTAGGAGTACCAGTATTAGTGAAAAGCCTTATCCAATTGCGAGTTGTTAGTAATAAAGTCTAAAAAGCAAAGAATCATCTGCGAGCTTTAATGTATAAGCTACGGTTTTTAAGAAGTATGTGATCAGTGTAGGATAGATTTTTAAATTCAGTTGATAATTAATTGTAATCAATTATATATATATATATATATTATATTATATATATACATATATATTCATTTATATATATATAAATATATACACATGTTTTTGTCTTTTGTGGTAGTTTCACCCACTTTTATTTCATTTCTTTTTAAAATTTTATTGTTTCCTCATTTTTTTTGGTGACAATATACCATAGTGTTACACAAATTAATTAAAATAAATAGGTTATACTTTTTCACATGCATGGCGCACATACTCGTGCAACGTTAAAATGGGTCAGTCCATAAAGGCTGACTAGTGAATTTTCATATTTATTCTCATAATATTCCTTTCATATGTATTATTAGTAATTAACCAATATATTAACCATCCACAATGGTCTATCATGTAGCATAAACTGACAAAGTAATGCACAAATGATCGTAGTATAAATATTCCATCATAAGAACTAATATAACATTAGTGCACTACCATCAAATAATCATCACATAATTCTCACATAAATTTAATCTCAAAATTGTAGTAACAATGCTTCTAAATTAAATAATTACAACTCACCTATTGTATTTAAATTCTTTACTATGAGCATGTTACCCATGGAATAGTACAAATTGGCTTTCTTTAACTCAGTAAACTCCACTCTAAAAGCAGCTGCTGCTATACACCTGTGTGTTATATTTCTAATTAAAGAAATGGATCTCAGGATTGTGAGTGTTGGTGGGTGTTGGGGGAGGTCCGGACGTCGCCGAACCTCATCCCTCTGGATTCGTCTTAGGAATATCTAATCAGTCTGTGAATCATCTTTAAAATAATTCATTGAAGCAATAGTTCTAATCTCACTAACGTTGTGGTAGTTGTTAAATAAGTATCCATTGCTATTTATACTTCATAAGTATTTTTTTTTTTTTTACAATTAACGACTTTTGTTGTAAATTCAATTTCATTTCCCACATAGCAGTGAGGAAAATCCCTATGTTCTGTTGTATAAACAGACATAATAAGTCTATTTAGGTTTATTTGTTTAAGCCAATATATTTAATATTGCTTTATTTTTAACTATTGAATTTTAGAAATGCCCTTGGAAATGAAAGACAAAATACATTTTAAATAACGAATAGTCAAAAAATTACATTTTAAATAACGAATAGTCAAAAAAGTCAATAATTGTGTTAATGTTGACACAAGCATGCAATATATGAAAGAATATACAAAGAACTTGATTATCTGTGCATGCTAAGTTGTGATAGATATACACTTTCCTTATTCTTAACGCATTGACCTATATTGGGACTTAACATAGTGACTGTATAATATACATTCTATATAATGATATTTTAGAGATTATCAACTTTTGTATCTGTACTAATGTCATTTTAGAAGAGAGTAGTCTCATGTGTTCCTTTGGTACTGCAACAACTCCTCGTTTAATTTTTGGTACATTCGTGTTAGTGTAAAAAGTAAAAACTACATAGGCCTAGGCCTATATTTCTTCGTTTGTTCAGTTGTCTTAGAGATAAATTATAGCAATTACCTTCTACTTACTCAAATATGTTGCTTGAGACGTTTTATTTGAGGCATTGTTTGCCAGATTACAATAAGAACATTAAAAGTTGATTCAGCTAAAAGAGAACACACAATTTAAAACACGACTTTTTTAAGTTCATGGTTGGCTGCACAATTGGGTAAAACTATATAAATGCCTAGATGTAAATAACTTAGCTAATTTATTTTTCATTTATACTTTTAATTATATAGCGCCTTTCTTTGCAGATACGAAGTGCTTTTGTCTCAAGTCATTTAATCCATTTTATGTTTTTTTTCTTGTACTATCTATTAATTTTAGAAGTTGCAATCGTTAGATAATAATGTATAAATGTTGCTTTAGGGAGTTTAATGTTAGTGCTTCCCACTATTGTGTGCTTATATTCAATATCAGTAATATCGATTCAATTGAATGAAATCATTAAAAGCAATCAGTGGTTTCTCTACTCTGTGTCCGTATATATATAAATCATCAAAGAAAGGTAAATACAGTGTTCTAATAAAGGACATAATAATACATCGTGTAGCATAGCTCGCAACGAATGTAGTCCTGTAAATAAATGAATAAAGAAATTGTGTAATAAAATGCCTCTGGTGGGACTTCAATCTGTGACCTCTCGCTGTCAAGGCGAGCGTCATAACCATTAGACCACGGAGGTTTCATGGTTAAACAGATTCAAATACCACCAGATACACTCCATTACAAAATAAGTACGGCTAGAAACAAATAATAGCATACACTGAAATATAAATCAAGGTAGCCCGTTAACACGTAATAAGTAATGTTGGTCTTATTACAAGTCTTTTTGTCAGATTCCAAAGTGTTCAATAACGAACAGAACTCGTCAGGAAGCTGCATTAGAATACAAGTGTTTTAAATATGGTGGAGAGTCCCCTATATTACTTGCAGTAACAGAGGAAATATTGATACCTTTAAGTTTGTTTGGAAGGGGCCTTTCCAAAATGTCTCTTGGATATTGTTGCTAAGGTCTCATCAAGTGTAATCCTTCGTGTGTTTATCGGGCATGCGCATTTGTTGTGCCCTGTTCTGATTGGTTGGGTGCTCAGTTTGATCATCCAAAAATGCCAATTATTAAAATTAGATTATGTGTCCTTTGTATTTTGTTTCAGCAAACAAACCGATGAATTCTTGAGTAATGTGTGTCGTTAGTTTAAAATGAATTCGTTCATAATTATTAACTGAAGCCTTAAAGCGGATTGTGTTTATAATTTCAATCTAAGCAATATGAACTAATTAATTGAATATAAATTCAACAGTATATTGGTAAAAGAATTTTGTATATTGGAAAAACGTAAACGTAAAATGAAATCATTTTGTAGAGAAATATAAGCTTCAGAAAAAAAAATATAAAAAAAACTTCAATATAGAAATGATATTGGTGAACTCGTTCAAAACAATTTAAAGTTTAAAGATAAATATTTCTAATTTGTAAACCATCAGAACTGGTAATTACAATTATTCAGGCAAAACACTAGCAAGACAATGGCTTGAGTTCTGTTAAAACTATAGGACTCCCAAAAATCTTGGAAACTAAAAATCAATTTAATAAAAATTATGCGGAGCAGTTAACGGAAAACAGTGTATCATATGAAGAATCATAATATACAGTTTGTATAAAATTCAAATTACACCATATAGTAGCTTTTTAAATTTTCTTTCAATTTGTTTTCAATTTATACCGTATAAATTTTTTTTTTAAATGTCGAAAATTGTCACCAAATGGTCATAACTATAATTGTCATAATTCTATCTCAGAGTTGTGTATCGATCCTCTTGGTGTTGAAGATGGGACTATTCCCGATGAACAGCTGTCCGCTTCAAGTGAATATAATTCTGATCTTGGGGCACATCGTGGACGACTGAACACTAAAGCGGATAGTGGGGGGAATGGAGCATGGTGTTCAAAAACCAACGACGAATACCAGTGGATCCAAGTTGACCTCGGAAAACTGCATAAGGTACATGGAGTAATCACACAAGTCCGCAACAATCGTTTACATTGGGTGACGTCTTATGATATTTTTTACAGTGTCGGTGGTAACCTGTTTCAACCAATCAGGAATTCAGATTATCAAGTAACTGTAAGTGTCATTACAATATTTCCCAATGTATTTACATATACTATTTTTTTCTTTCTTTTTTATTGAGAATAATCACCTGTATATTATATCCAAATAATATCCGGAAAAAATTTAAATATTGAAAAATATTTGTTAAATTTATAGTTATTTTTCGTTTTCTTTTGTATAGAATATAATGTTTCATATTTTGTGATTCTCTTGTTTGCAAGTTGTCTTTTACATGTTTTATGAAATACCGTGTATTTTCGTACTAGATGAGGGCAGGAGCTGTGGGATGTTCCAGTACACCGGGTACACGCCCCCCCCCCCCCCCCCCCCCCCCCTCCCCACCTACCTCGAAAGATGTACTGGGTTCTTTATAGTGCACATTAGCCAATTATGTACACTCTGCCTACGGCTAAACCTCCAGAGACATAGGCGAGCGTGCTGTTCGAACCAACGCCGATATTATAGCTGCAACTTTACTTAAAATCTACACTAAAGTTATAATTAAAGGATAAAATAAAATTTCAGAATCAATATCACATGAGGAACGTTAATAACAAAAAAATGAATGTTTTTTTTTTGTTTTTTTTCTCATCAAACACTCACCACTTACAGCATTGGATGATGATGATATATAAACAGTCTCTTTATGAGGCTTTGGGAGTGGAGTTGTTTTTGATCATGAAAAATGTCCTGCTTTGACAGGAAATAAATTCAGAACCATTGGATTAGAAGGCACGCATCTTAACCACTGAGCTATTTAATTACACTCATAAGAAATCTTAGTTATGTTATTAAAACTTTAAAAATTATCGAAAAAAAGTATTGCAAAAATGATTCCGGAAGCTTATGAAAGTAAAATGTTTTATTTTATTTCATTTATACATTTTGCTGAAGTAATTCATAATACTATCCGTCGCCAGACATCATTTCAGTATTTCTGAGGCTGAAGTTTTGCTTCAGGAGTATTGATTACAGTACTATACTATACATTCAGACTTGGAGCCGGGATATTTTTAATTAGAAGTAAAAGTACCGATACCAGGAGTATAAATTTATAAATTTATTTATTTATTTCGGTAAAAATCTGCAACAGGCAACCAGACGGTTGAAAACGTTGAACTTACATATATCAAAAAGTCAACAACAAATTGGTACCTACAGTAGAATATTGTGCCTTTGGATATACTAGTTTAGTGCTCTAAAAAAGTAGCGAACGAATAGGGTTCACTTCCCAAAAAAATTTGCACTAGTGCTGGTTTGTCAATGTATATCATCCAGTGACCAGGGCTATCAAAGCTCGCTCCTTTGGTCATTTAATTTGTAATTGGCGCCTAGGCATATTTTAGGTTTATATTCTATTTATATCCTATAAAATCC